GAGAATAAAGGGTTCATCCGTAGACACTCTCTTCCCATTCTCTGCTTCCCGCACTCTACTTTTTGTATGCCATCCCAGGCATCGTAAACTGACTCCACGTGACCACTAGCAGTCCATTTGAGATCACTAATACCTAGGACATTGATCTTTATGTGCTCCATTTCCATTTTGAAAGCTTCCAGTGTCCCTAGATTCATGCTTTGTAGGTTCCATGTTCTGACGGTTCATGGATGCCGGTAGCTGTTTCTTCTCCTTTTGAGTTGTGCCCTCTCAGCATATAAAGGTCCTGAAAGCTTTGGTCCATTCAGGTCTTCATGGTCAACGACTTTGAGCAGGCAGCTGTGCCCCCATCTCCTTTGGACTGCTGTCCACCTTGATGGGCTCATGTCCCCACACTGCATCCAACAATGTCCCCACTGCCACTCGTGAGCTCTTCGGTGGTTATGCCTTCAGAAATGAACAGCTACTGTCCGGTCTTCGTCTGGAATTTCAGCTGAGATCTGTTCACCCTGGGTGACGCTGCTGGTATTTGAAAGACATCGTTTATTGGCGTAGCTTCCAACCCCATGCAAGCTACCACCGCATAATTTTTTTTTTTAATTTTGAAAACTGACAGATGAGGAGTACGCTGGGATACTACTTGGCCAGAAATAGAAATGAAGTCCTGACCCAGGCTCCAACCTAGAACAACCTTGAAGACCGTGAGTGAAAGAAGTCAACCACAAAAGGACAAAGATGCGGGGCCTCGGTTATATGCAGTAGCACAAATAGGCCAATGGTGAGACAAGGGAGTTGATTCGTGCTTAGCAGGGCTGGGCGGGATGAGGAAGGAGGTGGACCGGTCATCCTTTAGGAAGCGATGAGTTTCTGATGGGGGTGATGGGGAAATGGGCCACTATTGGGGATGAAGTTTGCACAACATGATCCATGCTGTTACGATTGCTATATGGAGCACCTGAAAGTCATTGACTGGCAGATCCCGTTACATATCTTGTTACGACCATTTTTAAATACAAATGGAAGCTGAGGGACTAGACCAGGAGTGGATCATATGAAAAATTCAGTTGCCTGGTTTTTTTTCTAAGCTCAGCTATCAGATTGCTATCCAAACTGGCATTTGAACTTAGGACGGCATGATCCAGGTATGAATTTTGAAAAGACACTCCTTGAACCATGGGGGGGAGGGGTGGTGGATGGACTGGGGAGAGAGCCTGGTGGCCTGGAGGCTGGAGTGAAGGTCCAAGGCAGTGGTTCTCCACCTTCCTCATGCTGCGACCCTTTCATACCATCCTCATGTGGTGGTGACCCCTCAACCATAACATTATTTTCATTGCTACTTCATCACTGTCATTTTGCTACTGCGATGAATCGGGTGACCCCTGTGAAAGAGCGGTTCACACACACCCCCCCCCATGGGGTCGCGACCCACAGGTTGAGAACCACTGGCCCACGGGAAAGAGAGCAGGGGACAGGAAGGACAGGGCTTGGGCAGTGACAAAACGCAGCCTTGGTGTTGCAACTGGTAATGAACGCTCTCGGCTGGTAACCGAAAGATCGGTGGCTCAAACCCACCAGCCGCTTCACAGGAGAAAAGACCAGGCAATGCTTTCCCATGAAGAGCAGAGCCTTGGAAACCCTCAGGGGGTAGTTCTACTCTGTGTGTAGGGTGATTATGAATTAGAATCGACAGGATGACAGGGGAGGAGAGGAGGACATCACCTGGGCATCTGGCTGAAGGAAAGTCGGGCTGCCTTGTACCCCAGATTTAAAATAATAAAAACAAGAGGAGGGAAACTGTGGGAGACCCTGAGCTCTGTATGGGATGAAATGAGGTCTAGGAAGGAGGGCGCCCTGGGAACAGTCTGTTATACCAGGCTAGAGCTGAGAAGACTGATTATTATTTTTATTTACTGTATATACTTGAGTAGAAGTCGACCCCAATATCAGCCAAAACACCTAATTTTACCACAGAAAAGGCATTTAAAAAAAATGTGCTGGAAAACTTGACTTATACACGAGTAGATACGGTATTTATGTCTGATATATTTATTATTAATTAATTTTATTTATTTGTTTATTTGAAGACAGATTTAGATAGTGGATGAGATTCCCCCACTAGAGAGTGGGGCGGCAG